CAGAGCACAGCTGTGCACGGCGCTGGAGGTCAAGGAGGAGAAAAGATGCAGGGTTGCGTGGAGACCCAGGTGAACCTGAGACGCAGATACTCTGCCACGTGGGCGCATCTGCTGCATTAGAGACACATTCTTGGGCACAAGTGGCCTCATGGTGTGCAGTGCGAGTGACAGATGGAACCAAGTGACTTAGAGGACCCCACTTTTCTGCAGTTGCAATGAACCAGAAGCATTGAGCTTGAAAGCCCTCCCCGGATCCTGGGTTTGGTCCCCTCAGCCTCTCCCTCCTCTCCTCTCCACCATTAACATACACCAAGTCCTCAGGCTGATTTCAAACACAGTATCACAAGTCCTGCTCAAATACATCACTGCAGTAACAGCAAACACACAGGATTTTGATGAATGCAGGGTAAGAAGACCATAAGAATTTCACAGGCTATTATTTGCTGCAGAAGAGAGAGGTTCTGAACTGGCTGCCAAGAAATCAGTGAGTCTCACACCCAGAGGGCCGAGTGCCCTGGGAAGACGAAGACTCTGCGGTGTGGCCCTCAGACCAGCCTCCTTGGGAAGGAGGCTGGGTTAGTAGCCAATGACATTCCACCTTCACTGATACTAATTTCCTGCAAAGAGCCAGGGGCTCGTAACTTTCGGGATGAGCACCAACTGATAAATAGCTGTTTTTTCGCAGAATCCCATTTGATTTTATTTTACCCTTGGCACTGTAGGCTAGAGCGCCAGTAAGGAGCAAGCACTGGAAGACAGATTTAATTAGCAAGATGAGCCTAGGGCCTGGTGGGATCACTTCTCAGAACACAGAGAACAGCCACGGTCACGGTTTTCCTCTAAGGTAGGAAGAAACCAAAGCCTGCAGAAAATGAAAGGCTGTGACAGCAATGTCAGATCGGAAGTGGAAGCCCAATTACAGAATGTTTCCCCTTCCTGGTAGCAAGTCTCCAAGGGGGCCCCCAGTGGCTCCTGCCTCCGTGTATTCACTGGGAAGCAGTCCTCTCCCCACTGAACAGAGATGACCTGTGTAACCGTAGGACACTGCAGAAATGATGAAGTTTGATTTCCAGTGCTAGGCCATAAAAATCATCATGGCTTCTGCCTAGTACTCTCTTGGGTCATTTGTTTTTCTGGAAGCCAACTGCCATGTCATGAGGACACTCAAGCAGCACCATGGAGAGGTCCACATGGCGAGGACCTGAGGCCTACTGCCAACATCTACCATCACCTTGACAGGCACATGCGTTTGAGCCACCTGGAAGCACACCCTCCAGCCCCAGTCAAGCCTTCAGACGATCACAGCGCCAGCCAGCATTTTGCCTGCAATCTTCTGAGAAACCCTGAGCCAGAAACACCCAGCTAAGCTGCTATCGAATTCCTGATGCACAGAAACTGTGAGAGAGTACAAATTCACTGTTTTATGTCACAGGCTTTTGGGGTAATGTACTATGCAGCCATAGATCACTGATACAGCTTTCCAAGTGTACCATCCTGTCTGTTTCCACAGGAAATTGATTTCGTTCCTCATAGAAAGCCTTGTCAGTGTTCTCAAATGGATGGTCTTCTCCTTTCTAAAATACCACTCCCTCCAGACCCGTCTTTCCTCAGGCCCTAAATCCATTCCGCCAGCAGGTCCTGAGGTCCTTCCCTTTAAAGTAGACCTTCCTCGTGGTCACTGACTTTCCTTTGCTGACTGTCTCTACCTTTTTCCAACTCTCATCCTGACCGGCCCGGAATGCTCTCTTTCCTTTCTTTTCTCATTAACTCCCTCTCCTATTTCAAGGTTTCAAGCAAGTGCACACACTTCCTGAAGCTTCATCTGACCCCTCCAGACCACGTGTGTCTCCCATCTTGAACTTCTATTTGTTCTACTCAACACAATAGTTACTGAGAGCGTGCTGACTATATTGGGCGAGGTGCTGAGGGCACCACAACAATGAAGTCCCTGGCCACAAGGAGGCTACAGGCTAGTAACCATCACACCAGCTCACCACTTCTTTGTTCTCTTTCTCTTAACTGTGTTTCCCCAACCAAGTTCTTCAATAGTCAGGGCTGTGTCTTAAACGCCTTTTGTAAACCTCATAGTGACGACCAGACCACGGGGCAAGTAACAAGTTCTTACTAAGAACTTGGAGGTTACACGCAAGATGGGAAGCAGAGTAACACTAGAGATACATGTCAACCACAGTCCTTCTCTAGGTTAGAGAAAAATACATTAAGAAACCATGCTCTGTTTGAATGGCATTTCACTAAACAACAACTCAATTTAACTTGACAAATTATTTAAGTCAGATTTTTAAATAATTATTGATGAGCCATGCCCCAAACGCCACGATCACAAAATAATAGTCCTATTTTAAGATTAAGGAGCTAATATAAAAATGATGTATAGCACATTAATAATTTGAAGGTAGATATCTGAAATTTCCTAAGAGATTTTACAAGACAGAAATAGAAAAAAAATGAGAAGCATCAAATATAAATTTTTAGCTAAAACCATTCTGTCCTATTAAGAGTTTTGATAGGATCCAAACACACAAGGCAACCGTGCCAACTTCCCAGCAAGGATCTCCTGGAACCAAGGACACAGTGGGCACAGGTAACATTAGTGTCCTTTCTAAGTGACTCTTGTGAATCAGAAGTGGAGGAATCTCATTTCTCCAAAATGTAAAACTGTTTTTGATGTAAGGAAAAAAGAGGAAGCTATTTCACTCCTCCAAGCCAACCACTCCTGAGGTGGTTTCCTGATTTTTGGTCACAAAAGCCATTGAGTATAGTTTTGATTTCTTGTTCAGAGGACCCAGTATGGATCTCAACTTAGACGTCCTGTTTAAGGGATGTATGTCACTTGAGCCCAGAAGAGATCTTCATGTGCAGAACAGAAGCTCAAAAATTCAGAGTCAAACATTAATCTTACACACATGTTTACTGTCAAACTTCATCTTTAAAAAAATTCTCACTTACCTGCCAAAATATGCTATCTATTGTGTTTCCAAGAAAACCATCGCGACCTTCAGAAGACACCAGTTTGGGGCCAAGGATTGTCATGAATTCATCAAAATCCACCTGGCCATCCCCTGGAAGAAGAAGATACAAATACAAGTTGAAAACTAGTTGAAATTGACCTACCCAATGAAATAAGCATCTCCATGCTTTTCTCCTTGGCATGACCTCAGTCAATGAAGAGCTGAACCCATTACTGAAAATTGTGCAATATTCTTAAAACACCAAAAGAAATACAAGAAACTGGCAAGGACTGGCACCTCCAAGACAACATAGTCCTAATCATTTGTCAATATTTCTGTCTAAATACTCAACTGGTACCTCCCACTTCAATAGCCACAACCTTACACTTGCTGTGCCTTCTGGATCCCAGCTGCTTAGCTGTACCTGAGAGAAATTACAGCTCCATCCCTATCTCTTCCTTCATCCTCATCAATCATGCATGAATTTAGACATCAAGTCTTACTGGTTTCACTTCTTAAATACCTATGGCTGATCTACCTTCCTTGTTAAATCAATTGCTAGTCCCTTTCCAAAAAGACTGTGGTGGGAAAATGCTTCCAAGAATGAACGTTCCTAGTTACAGTTATAATGTTCCTAGTAAAATAGTTTGTGCCCTCACACTCTCCACACCACCTTCCATACAGTTGAGTTTACTTCCCCCAAAGCACATCTGATCATGTTTTATAAACTTCAACGGCATCTTTGACCAAAAATAAGGAAACCACCTCAGGATAGTATTCAAGTCCCACTATTCCTTTTGGCACTTTTTTGTTCCCCACCTCTGCCCCAAATGCCATGCTCTTTCGGAGTGCCATGCCTCTGTGTATGCTGTTCCCTCCATCCGGATGCCTTCTCTGTGTGTCTACCTAGGGAAGGCCAACCTGTTCTGTAAGATGGAGCATAAATACCATGTTCTCCTTCTGTATTTTTCCTGACCCTTCCTCATCTCACTAGACAGCGTTGGGCAAACTTTCTTCTGTCTCTCCAACTAACTTAATGTGTATCTATTTAGAACTTACCACCCTACATCTCAGTCACTAATCTGCATGCTAATCTCCCACCTGGCTTGTGAGCTCTGCAAGGTCAGGGACCCAGTCTGAAATGCTGTTTCAGACTGTTACCCCTGGTGAGGTCCCACAGTTCGTAAGAGCTTTGAAGCTCACGGGCATGAATCACTTTTTTACGAAGACCTCCCGAGACCGTAACTACAGTATGTCCATCAGACTGGGTCACACAAGCTCCTGGCCGTAGTGCAGTGGGCACCGCTCTCTCTCACTTGGGAGCCTGATGGGGTCGGGGGGCCACAGGACGCAGCAAAACACCTGCTTCTCAGCCCTGGGAGAACGAGGCCGCCTTTAACAATCTACATTCTGGGTAGGAAAGAGACCACCCACCTCTCCGAAACCTCCCCTCAGGGTGACAGGAGACCAGCCTGTGGAACTGGTACATTTCAAGGGTCCACAAGGAACTCTGGTCAAAGTCAGCAGGGTGTGCTCCCAGAGGGAGCCCTTGGCTGAGAACCCCAAACCCGAAGCTGACAAGTGGAAACGAAGCTCCAAACTACATCCTGGCCTCAGTGAAAGGGGCAGCTGATTCACGACTCACAGCTTCGGCCAGAGCGAAGGTGCTGGGGGAGGGGCCTCAGGACCCTCTGGGCAGTGCCGGCTGCAGCACAGGGGCCTTGGCAGAGATTTTCCGCTCCTTGGAGGAGAGGTCTGGTTCATGGGAGGATTTGCTTCTACCTCCTTAACAGAAGACATCCGGAACCTCAGATTTTTTATCAGTCAAAATGTGATTCTCCACCCCCACACCCTTTTAAACTATCATTGAGCAAAGGGAGATTCCTGCAGGCCCACAGTTGGAAAAATAATCAAGGTGGGACTCCCTCACCTCTGTCTTTCTTAGGATTTTCTTAGTCCTGGTTCCTGGGTGTGTGTGTACATTGCACCTTCTCTGTAGACTTTCAGTATGTGAAGGCGCCTCCTGCTAACACACAGCTCACACCAGTCCTACAAGCAGTGCAAGGTTCTATTTGGATTTAGACTGAGGAAAAGCTCTCTTCAGCAGATCCTAGTCTAAAGGGCAAACAGGCCTGGGAACACCCCACAAGATATCAGTGCCGCTCCTAGAAGTCTAGCCTCCATGTCTCCACCCCCTCACTCCATCCATTGCAGAACTGAGACAAATACAACCTCAGAGAGAGGCTTTTCACTAAGTGTCTTATACGAAAACCACCTCCAGGATGAGGCAAGGTCTGGGAAGTCTGATGATGATCTTAATATCTAACATCCTGAGCACTCATGATGCAATGGGCATCATTTAAAGAAACTGCCACACCCTAGTTAATTTAAGCCTGCCAGCAGGCCATTCTACAGATGAGAAAATTGAGGCACAGAGAGGTTCAGTAACTTGCAGAAGCTCACAGCGGGGAGCAGAGCTGGGATTCCAAACCCAGCAGTCTTCGCTGTTGCTGCCTGGAGGTCGGGTGACATACGGACTCTGTCAGGAACCCTGTTTCGTCTGATCCTGTTACCGAGTCCAAACTGGTTCTCCTCGCCATATGACAGGCCAGTAAATACGGAGACAAGGTGTTGGGGCAAGGCATAACGACTTTATTTGGAAAGCCAGCAGACCGAGAAGACTGAGGACTAATGTCCTAGAGAACCATCTTCCCTAAGTCAGAATTCAGGCCCCCATTTATATTAAAAAGGGGAGGGGGTGTGGTTGGTTGGTGCAAACTTCTTGGTGTCGGAATCCTTTGTTCTTGCAGCTGTCCACGTGGGTCAGGTCATGCTGTTCCTGTAAACCTCCAACAGGACAAATGTTATTCTCTGTCCTGCAACTTTTCATCTCTATATGAATGGAACAGTGCTATACCCTTAAAGGTCAGAGCCCTGCGAATGGGCTGTCCTGTATATTTCAGGCCATAGGCAGCATCCTTTTACGAAAGGTGCAGAGCCAGTGTGACTCAACACAGGAGACAGGGCACAGGGTGAGAGCTCGAGGAACAGGTTTAACATGGAGTCAGACTTGCTCTTCCCTGTTTCGATCCCAGCATTCCCTGGCCCGGGGGTCTATGGCAGCCTAGCACAGAAGAGCAGACTGAAATCCAAGCTGCTCCTGGTTTAGCTGCTGGGTCTCAGGTCAGCTGCCAGAGGTCCTTCTTAAGCATTTTAAAGAGTGGTAATGAGCAGCAGGAAATATCGATTTAACATTTGCCCTGTGCCCGACACTGAACTCCAGGCCTTACGTATATCATCTTGTTTGATTCTGCTGCGACTAGACACCGCTCTCCCTGTTTTAATCATGGGAAGACTTCCGCGAGAAGAGGTTAAGAGTAACCAGGTCGAGGCCGCGCAGCTCACAGGCGCCAGCTTGGGGATCAGCTTGGAACCCCTGATGTCACCTCCACGTTGCAGAGCCTCCCTCCGTGTCCGAGGCCCCTGCATAATTCCTGGCCCAGACTCGTATCTCTCTTCAAAGTTTGAAAGTATAATGTGTTTTTCTATATGGGCATTTAGGCAGGAATTTAGCGGGAAATTGGGAGGATGGACTTTACGGACATGAATGCAAACAGCGGCCATTTGATAGCTATTTGTTCCCCAAATTGCCATTCTGTCTGCAGTCAGAGTCTCAGTAGTTCTCCTGGGGTGGTCAGTTCTCAGAGGATCCCAGTCTGCTGCATACAACCCTCCAGGTATCTGAAAATCTGAAACCCCTTCCACCGAAAAGAATTGGTCTGAGGAATGAGGCCCGTGTAAGGCCTTTCAGGGTGACAATAGGCTGGCATCTTGGATTCACATGTCCCCTAAAGACAAGGTGGGCGTCTTCTCAGACCTGCCACCTTTCACAGAATGCAAAGCTTCCTTTGGTCACATTGTTTTGCAAACCTTGAACAAGCAAGCAAGTGCAAAGTGAAAGAATGAAATTCACTCCTACCAGGCCTCATTCCCCCTCCACGGGCTTCCAAATATCATGATCCACTTAGCAAGACATGCAGGAAGCTAACCTGCCCAGGATGGCATCTGATTGCTTCCCACTGCTATATAAGTCAGAGTAATGAACTTGAACAAGGGCAGGAAGCCGCGGGAGGGCCGCGACTGCACAACATTCATTAAGACCAACCAGCTGAAACTTCCACAAAGAGGTAAGATAACGATAAAAATCCCTGCAGAATAAAAGGAAGGAAAGGCATGTACAGAAAAAAACGGTCCTAGAAGGGTGACAAGGAGACAGATTAGGAGGAAGGAAAAATGTCTGCCTGAGACTCTGTTCAAATCAATTGACTCAACTCCAAAGGCACGCCTGCCTGCACGGAAGAGATGAGAGGGTGATGTACAGGGGGTAACAGAGAGATGAACAGCTTATCCCCCAGGGGGTTGCAAAACGTCACCCAGGACAGAATCAAGTGGGGGCTGAGATTGACCTAAAAGCACTGAGCTAAGGCAGCACCAAGGCAGGGAGCAAAGGCTCCAATTAGGAGATTCTCAGTGGCTCGGCGGAGAGTCCTGCAGAGAGAAGGTTCTAACCAGCTGAAAGAGATGAGGTGAGCAGACTGAGCAATGGGGGAGGGGGTCAGCAGGAAGGATGGAGGATGGCAGGGAGCAGCAACTGCCCGCCCTGAGTGCTGGGTCGACGGTTCTCATGGGAAGAGAGCGGGAAGAGATCAGCCCTGCTTGTCCTTGAGGCAGAGTCAGTGGCAAGTGTCCGAGTGGGGAGTGAGAGCATTACCCACCACCAGGTCCCTCCCATGCAGTTCTTCTGCCTAATGCTTCAACTTCAACCTCAAATACAGTGTCAGGGGATGAACGGTGTCCTCCCCCACCGCAAAATTCATCGGTGGAAGCCCTAACCCCCAATGTCACTGTATTTGGAGACAGAGACTTGAAAGAGGTAATGAAGGTTAAATGAAGTCCTAAGGGGAGGGGAGGGCCTTGATCCAATCAGATTGGTGCCCTTCTAAGAAGAGGAAGAGACACGCAAGCACCGGGGAAAGACCGCGTGAGGGCGCAGCCAGTGAGAGGGCAGACGTCTGCAAGCCGAGAACAGAACTGCACCGGATGCCAAGCCT